TAACTTTTCAATGCAATTAAAATAAATGAAAATACAATTCAATACTCAAAGTACACAAATTGATCTAATCTAATTAATTTACAGCAAAATAAAAAAATATGTAAATGACGGATAATGAAATCTCGATTATCACTTTATCATGCGAGAGTATAAAATGTTCGGTGACACCCGAACTTAGCCCTTCCTTACTTGTTATTTATATATATACCCTAAATAGGGTACATTAAATTTGCCACGAAGTTTTTAACACCTTTTGAAATATATGTATATACAATTATACAAATGATCAGCATGACGATCTGAGTTCAGTCAAGTCGGCCTGGTCTGTTTGCATATTGCTTTTTCACAAGATTGTTGTCCAAGGCAACGATATAAATTGTTCAGATCAAGCCACTATAGCATATAGCTGTCATACAAACTGACTGATCAGATTCAAATTCTTCGGCACAACGAAGTTAACAATTTAATTAACAACTTTTTAATAATTTTTAATAATAAATATAATTTAAAATAAATTTATTTACTTCTCTAAAATTTAATTCGCCTTTCCCCCTTTGTTATAGGTCCCACATTGGAGAAAAAATCTGTAAGGGAGCTTGCAGCAGGCTTAAGTCGCTTGGGTACGTACATTTATTCATAAAATTGATATGCTAGCATACTTTTGAATGGACGTATTTTGAATGTCTAGTGAACCAGTGAGTTGCAAAAAAATTCTTTTTACACACTTGCGGCTATTCGGTTACAAAAGTAAATATGCACGAAACTTTATTTTTAGCACCAGACTTCTTCCAGAATAATTTCTTTATTTATTTTCTTCTGTTTATGTATTTACATTTATGTTCCTTATTCCTTTACTTTCCTGTTTGTTTGGCATGCAAATCAAATCGAAACAATATAGAACTTCCAATGAAGCCACAAGTGTTGCCGAGAACCCTGCTTACCGGCGCATCGGCGATATCCAAGTCATCGTCCACATCGCACATTACCAGCACGAATAGCAATAGTGCGAGCAGTCGAAGTAGTAGCACTACTACAACAACAACAATGCTGCAAACGCAGCGCATGAGAATAACAAGTAATAGCAGTAGCAGCAGCTCTACAACAACAACGACGAACACGGGCTCGTCAAACGTTACAAACGGCAATGAGAATCACGAAACATTGCTCACTAAAACAGTTATCACTGAAAACGGCAACGGAAGCAGCAGCAGCAGTTTCATAACCAACGAAATCATTAACATACGTAACGACACCAACAGCTGCAGCACCGCCACCACCCACAATCGCGATAGCACCAACACAAACGCAAGTGAAAACAGCAATGTGGATCGGTTGAGCACCGGCAGCAATGCCTCCAGTTTGGGTATACCCGTTGGTGGCTTTAAGCGAATTGCGGGCAAAGAGATTTCCGCCTTATTTGAGGTTTGAACATGCTTTTTTGGAATTACATATAATGTGCTTTATAAGAAACCAAGTGCTCTTTGTGGCTAACGTCGAGTTGCATTCGTTGAGTTGAGCGTTCATTGAGAGCCGATAACTAATTATATGTGTACATATGTGTCCTTTTCATTGCTGTTCAGTGTCTGTCTAACATGCGGTAAACAACCAACTTTTTCTTACTTGTTTGTCAAAGCATACTGTGCAACACGGGAACTACATCGACGCTTGACCGTTCGCTTTCTGAGGTGCTAAACTAATGAAAACAGAAACCATAACTATTTATAAACAAAAATTAAATGCAAGCATATGTATCTTTAGAAAACCGTGATTAACTTAAAAAGCTTTGTATTTACTCTTCGCTGCCGTACGCCATTTGAAATTGCTAAAAAAAAAATTGATAAACTGGCTTAAAACACTATTGGCGCTTCACGATTCACGCTTACTTTATTGTTTTATGTGTTAATATACATACTATGTTTTTTATTTTTGTAACTAAATTTGCATTTTGCATAAGTTAACTAACACTTGTGTTATTATACCGTTATTAAGCTTTTTAACTATTCATGTTGCTGAAGCAAAGTTCTATTTATAAGCTGTTCATGAATGTATTGTATCCCGTTTTGTTTCATTGTGCGTCTTCTAAGTTATTATTGGGATCTATAGCGATTCTTAAATGTCTGCAATTAAGTAAGAAAAAAACCGTTTCTAAAATATTTCTCTGCTTTTTTAAAACTTTCGTACATAATAAGGAACTTTTTGAGTTTTGACAAATTTTCTCAGCACTCAGCATCACATAAATATATTCGGACTAAGATTTTATTATACCGAACTTATATTTGTCGAATACCTCGGTTTTTCAATACTAATGATCACCATGCGTGCTTTGATTGGAGAGACTTGTGTTGTTAGGTTTAAATATTAAAAGTTATTACTAAAACCTACTTGTACTTTTCAACGGTAGATACGCTGTCTTAACAAAGTTTCGATTGCGCTTTATATTTATTGAAGTTTAAATTTTTGTTTCACACGATCAATAAAATAATGTTTGAAGTACAACTCTTAACATCCCAATGCATGCTATATTTCGTCCATGAATTTATATAAACTAAATCATAATGTATTGCAGATATGTTTGTATGTATTTTAAAGTTAATTACGTAATTAAATTTACATATGTGTTGTGTGTACTATTTACATACATATAAATGTTATCACCTTACTATTAATTTATTGCTCCAATATAAAGTTTTCTCTGCCTGAATTGCATTTCCAGGAGACATTAGTTGAAGGCCTACAACGCTCTTCGACTCGACGATTATTTAGAGACACACAATATACAAAGGAAGATGTTGTTGATTTGTGAGACATTTAAAATAAAATAAATCATTTTCAAAGTAAAATACAGAACTGCAGCGTAGCAGATGCATCGACAACAGCGATATGTGGAAGTAATATTGATTTATGTAGCAAAAAAAAAAAAAAAAAAAAAAAAAAAAAAAAAAAAAAAAAAAAAAAAAAAAAAAAAAAAAAAAAAAAAAAAAAAAAAACAGATAGTAGAAAAGAACGTAATATGAGAAAAAATATTTAAAGGAAGAAAAAATAACATTGACACATGTGTTTAAATGTCAAGTACGAAACAATACACATGGACATGGACTAAAGCCATTAACAAATACGAAATTAGAATTAAAGAATTAAAGTGAAAACAAACTTTTAGAATTCCATGCGATCAGTTGGTCTAAAATTGTTTATATTTATTTTCAATTACTTCGCGAGTTGTGCAATCTTCACAAGCCTTATTTTGTAATATTGATCAATGTTTTTTATATTATATTTATACTTTACTATTTTTGGTTGCATAAATGATATATTACATTTGTCGATTTGCAATTGGAGAGTATTTCAACTATAAATTAAAATTTTATATAACGTGTATATGAAAAAGTGTTTATAAACTTGTATTTACGTTTTTATTACTATCAGTTTATCTTAACTCTCGATATTAGAGCGTTATGTGTGTGTTTTAGTTTTTAGTTTATGTATATATTGAATATGGTGCGTTTCATATTTCGAGTTGAACTAACATTTACAATAAATTAATATTAAAATAAAGAATTATAAGGTGTGTGTGTGCGCGCGTTTTATATTTTACTAAACTTGTACGTATTTACATATGCTGATATACATTTCTAATTACCCAAATATGTATGAATATGTATGTATTGATTTTAAGTGCCAATCATATTTTATGAACAAATAAATAACCTACATAAAGGAAATAAATAAAAATATGAAAATTTGATGAACAAATGCGGGCTATTTAAAATAAAAAATTTAAACTATTTGGTAACTAAAGAAGATATTTTTTCCGAAATGTTTTCACCAATAAATATTATGTGCAAATATGCATTACAAATATATATTTTTATAACTGCTTCCATTCAACTGCAATAAGTTTCTGCACTTGTTTTAAGTCTGACAAACTTTCCAAACTCAATTTGTATTTTGGGAGCTTAATTGAAGAATGTAAATTTTAAAAACCTCAGAAGTGTAGTGCTTTAGTAACTAGTCGTAATTGGTAAAATTCAGAAAAAAAATGTTGCTTTTACCACTTACTTTTTGTTCATAAATTTTGCTTGATTAGTGAAGTTTATTTGCTTTTAAAAATAAATATTATTATAAAGATAAAATGACAATCTTCAAATGCATTTGTGGGATAGAAAGCATTTGATTTTAATTTCATGTTAAGCCAGAAATGTGTTCCAGATTTGTTTATTTGTACAAATAAATCAACGAGTTATACTATCTTTCAAAATTTTTTAGAAAAGACAAAAATATAATCACTTATTATTCGTAAACAATATGTTAATCTATATGCCACTAGTAGCACGACCGAAATTATGAACAAAAAAAATAAAAAATACGAAATTTAAAACTACGAATTTGTCACATAGAAAAACATAGAAAACTTCAAATTATACTAATAGAAAGCAGCATTTTACGATAAAATAAAAACCAGGAAATAAGAAATATATGGCTAATTTTTGTTCCATTTTGGATAAAATTCTGAAGTTAACTTTCAGTAACAGCTATGAAGCTTGTCAGTTTGGAACAAGCAACAAATTTCTAGTCCCCACCTTGCAATATAAAAAAAAAAAAAAAAAAAAAAAAAAACATAAAAAAAAAAAAAAAAAAAAAAAAAAAAAAAAAAAGCAAATATTAACTGCACTGAAATATATATTTGAAGCAAATATGAAATAAACGATATAAGAGTAGCCTAAACACAATAACAAATGTTTCATAAAACGAGAATGATAATTAAAAAATAAAATTCAAAACGTTATATAATATGGTTTGATTTCAAATATATAACACCTGTATTAAATCAAATTGTTTTTTCACATTCCAATTGAGATAATAAAGATTAAAAAATACAACCATGTGTAGTTTCACGAATTGGGCAGCACTTACACATTTGACGGACGGCTTGTCAAATGAAGTTTTTTACTGTATCTGCCGCTTGTCCTCATTGTAGTTTTCAGTTGTTTTGCTATTTCTATGATAAACCAATAAATTCACGTTAAAAGTAATATATTCAATATTACATTAAAGTGTTAAGTAAAAATAGCGACACATATACGTTAGAAAAAATATAGACATGGTGAAACTAACGCCGGAGCTTGTTAATCAGTCAATGCAATATATAAATCCGTGCCGGGAGCGAGAACTGGATTTGCGCGGTTACAAAATTCCACAGATTGAAAATTTAGGAGCCACATTAGATCAATTTGATACGATAGACCTTTCCGACAATGATTTGCGTAAATTGGATGGCATTCCGTTTTTGCCGCGTCTGAAATGCCTGCTACTTAATAATAATCGTATCCTGCGTATTGGGGACGGCTTACACGAAGCAGTACCCAATTTAAGTTCAGTTATCTTGACTGGAAATAATCTACAAGAACTAGGTGATCTGGAGCCTCTTGCTTTGCTACCTCGTCTTGAAACACTTTGCTTACTTGTAAATCCTGTTTCCACAAAACCCTATTACCGCGAGTACATGGCTTTCAAGTTTCCTCAATTACGTTTACTAGATTTTAGGAAAATCAAACGGAAGGACCGCATTGAAGCTCAAGAATATTTCCGAACAAAACAAGGTAAAGATATGTTGAAGGAAGTGGCAAAGAAATCGAAATTAAATGCCTCAGCCGCAGCTGCTGAAGCCGGTGGTAAATCTGGAGTAAATGTAGCAGCAAGAACTGCCAATCCTGAAGACTTGCAACGTATAAGAGATGCGATAAAGCGCGCAAACTCATTACAAGAGGTGGAACGGCTATCTCGCATACTTCAAAGTGGACAACTGCCCGAAAATTTTGAACTGGAATTGACTCAAAACGGTGCGACGCTAAATGGAAATGCGATTGGCGGTAGTAGTAGCGTTGAAGCTATGGATTATTAAGTTGAACCCTGCTTTTAGTAGATTTAAAATGAATTTTTATTTACAATTTTATGAAGGTTTGTAAAAAAAATGAATTAAAGACAAAAACAAGTTTTAAGAACTAACGGCATTTAAACGTTTATTTTTTCATAGAAAAATTTAAACACGTACGATAGTAGTACATTTATGCAGCACATCTAAAGACAAAATGCTGAGAAATGCAGAAACATGTGAGGAACGAATCTCAGTGTATAATTAATTACGTTTGTCACAAATTTTCTAATTGTATTAACTAATAGTTTTAAAATTATGATGGTCGAAAGCTATACATTTAACTGTAAGGAACTGCTTAGATAGTTGGTTACAAATCAGACACTTTTGACATTTGCTAAACTATTTCGCCCAGGGACCACTGGCTTTTAACATATTGCATTGATAATGGAATAAAATTTTAATTGATATTTTCGGTAGATATTTTGTTGATGTGCTTAAGTCTGTGGTGTTTTGGTTTAAAATAAATCTGCAATCCTTAAACCTTGGCAACTACTTTATGACAGCTCCTTCTCAGCCATTATAGTATCATAATGCAGCCCAGTATAGAAAATTATCCACGTCACAAGAAAACCCGCAAATGACGTCATAAAACCTTCTTTAACCAGCTCCCAAGCGCCTCCGTAAGCCTCTTCATCAATACCTTGGAAATTTATGGAATAAATGTACACAATACCACAACTAATACCAGCGAATCTATAGAAACATATGAGAAATTGTTTATGAATTTACATAAGATGCATTGTTATTTGGAGATTCCTTACAGTACTAATCCCAGGAAGCCCTTTAATGGCACAATGCCCCAAACTATGCCTAACAGAATGCCAAAAATCTGCCTCGCCCAGTATATAACATCTAAAAATTCATCCTGCAAGTAAAAACATTAATGAAGATGGGACAAAGTTCTTTCTAATTATATATTTCATTTCATTGTATCTTTATTAGCATTATCAACTTACCTTGTCTGGCCATTCGGAATTCGCTTTCAACGCCCTTGAGCAGATCTCTGAAAGATTTAACGACTTTGGGCTACCATTGCTGTTGCGTTCAATTGTGTTAGTTCTTGTTGACATTTTAGTAATGTGCTTAATTTAACAAAAAGCAGAATTGAAATAAATTAACTAAAGTTAATCTCGTGCAATGATTAGAGAAAAACTCCAGGGACGTGTAAGTAAATTAGTAAATGTCACTTTGACAACTCGTTTTCAGTGGGAACAGTTGTCTTCAACATCGTTGCCGTATTGATGGAATTATTTAACTGACAGCTTGAATGAAATTACTTTCCGTTATTGTATTTGAATTTTTCTAGATATATTTTATAAATGTTAGATACTGAAATCATGAAGACGACTATATATTATTAATTAAGGTAATAAGTAAGGATTAAAGATAGTACCATAAGACCAAGAATAAAAGAAATGTTTATATATATGTGTTTGAGCTAAGATTCAATTAGCGATAATATACTCAGATTGGAGTAAATTAAGTCTGTCACGATGTATGTAATAGGAGGTCGAATAAAATACTTACTCATATAAGTGATGAGCGAGATTAGTTGAATCGATTTGGTAGTGCGGCAGTCTGTCCGCCTAGTCCCACTGTTTTTGAGATATACTCAAGAAATTCGGTACAGATTATTATCCAAGCCATCGATCGCTACAATCTCCCGACATATTATTCAGATAATATTATTGGATACTTGTTACAACAACAACATATTATTCAAGTCGAATGGGAATAAAATAAAAATGAAATGGCCACGACAGGGAATAACGTGAAAAAGTCTTCTGTCTCGTATTGGTAGAAGCAATAGGTACCTCAAAAGAGATAACAAATATGTCGGGGCGATTGATCCTTCGGCGCTTTCTCCACATTTGACGCTGAGCGACTAATTTTTGCTTTCAAACATATACACTTACAATAGCTTAATTTATGTTTTCATAAATTTTTATGCTAGGTAACTCAGTAAATTCAATAAAAAAAAGCTCTTAATTTTCCCAATAAAATTAACTAAGTATATTCACATATAAAACATAAACAACAAATTATAACTAAATATAGCGAAATGTTGCTTGTCAAAAAAGTCTTGCGGTATTATCGCTAGTTAGCGCTGAGAGCGCGTAGTTCTAGTTTTATTCGTCGCATCGGGTCATGCTATACCTTCTTGGAAAGCTCATTTCACGCGCTAACACGTGTTTGATAGATTGTCGTTTCTTCTAAGTCGTTCGTGAGTTATAGCGTCGCAAACATGGAGCAAAGTAAAAAGAAAATACGGCATATTTTACAGTACTACTACGATAAAGGCAAAAATGCATCTCAAGCCGCCAATAAAATTTGTGCAGTTTATGGACAAATACAGTATACATTTCTACCGCACAACGATGGTTTCAACGTTTTCGTGGCGGAAGGCTTGTCGTCGAAAATTGCGATAAAATCGCTGAATTGGTCGAAAGAGACCGGCATAGTGCAGCCGTAGCATCTGTCAAGAGCTGGGAATTAGTCATCAAAACGAAATTTATGAACAATTGAAAATACCGCAAGACTTTTTTGACAAACTATTATAAGTATGCATGTGTGTGTTTCTATAATCCTACTACGCGAAACAGAAACTGGTATGACTTCTTAAATATTTAAACAGATGTAAAATTGATCCTCAAAATTCAGTCTTATAGAAATCATAAACAGTCTGGCTAATTTTTTCTCCTAATGGTCGTTGCAAAGGTCCACAAGTTATTTTGCTCAACAGCAAACGAGCGTCTCTTTCATCTAAACACAGTTTGTAAGCATCAAATAGTAATCGCGGAGTGGGATATACCTCAACGATCGCTAATGCTTTTTCCATTGACAATGAATGTAACTGTAACAATTGTTGTACAAATATTTCTCTCACTGTCAATTGTGCTCCACGCGCAGAATCCTCGTACAAAGCACGAAATTTCAATAGTCCTATCATACTAGCTGAAGCACGACATGGCCGCAACTCTTCTTTGGTTGAACTAAGCAGGACTTTTTCTCTAAAACAACGTATTAATGTATTCGTTACACTTTGCAAATGCTTCATGGAACGGAAGTTGTTTTGGGTATGAGCAATTTTAAATCCCGAATGTATTTGTGTATTTACAATTGCCTGTTGCAAAGATTCCATAGGCAAGCCCAGATGTTCATTATCCCCAAAATCTTCTACTAAGTATATAATGTTTTGTATGCCACACTGACGTAAACGATGTTTTTGTTCGTGAAATCGGCCATCGCGTATACTTGATGCCAAGTCATCGAACCTTTTACGTTCCACAATGTATGGAAGAACAAGCTCATTACCTTCTTGATCACGAGCAATCCAAAGAAAATCACCAATTGTCAGACGCCGTACCTCATACAATACTTCAAAACTTTCCAAATAACTACGTGTTTGATCTAAAGTACGTTTGTTTTTACCGCTTGTTTCTTGTGTATCAACAAGTAATATAATACGAAAATTCCCAGGACTCATAATTACTTGTCGTTGACGCTCTTCTTCTTCTGCTATTGCTTTTTGCTCCTTTTTAGTGATTTTCGGTTGTAATTTCTTTGGAGATTTTTTCCGCTTGGTTTTTTTTACTGATTCCACAAGTTGTTTAACATCTGATTCAAATGTCTTCATAGCAGATTCTAAAGGCGAATTCTGTAGTTTTTCTCGATACAAACGAAGTTCATCGTCGATTAGATTGCAGAGCGTGCTACCAAAACCCCTAAGGATAGCACATTCCCTTCCTGAAGACAATGGAAGTGGATAGCTCCGAAGGGCTATTAAAGCCTCGCGAAGTTTGTACTGTGATTTCGCATTACGACGTTCTGCATCTTCTAACCACTTCTCGAGCCATTTTTCAAACAAGGGATTAGGCTGTGCCAATGTGATCTTTAAACGTTCCGCCATATAATCAACTTTTTATAATTTCACTTCAGATTAGCGACTATTTGAAATGTTTGTTTACTTTCATTATATTTTCAACAGTGCTGCCAAGTGCATAAACGAAACGGAATAAGTCAGCTGATTTTGACATATTGAACATGTTTCCAATTTTCTTCATATTTCTTGTTGGTTGTAGTTAAATAATTGAAAATGATCAAATCATTAAATTTTTTGGTAAATATTTCCCAAAATGTGAGATGTAAGTGAAACTTCAGCATATAATTGAATTGATTTATCGTATATATGTAAATGCAAATTGTTTATTTTTTGCTTAGGTACACGGCAATTTTCTTTCACGGCGATACAAGCACTTGATCAAAATTGGCGTGAACAGAAAGGACTGCCGGGAAATCCAAATGCCTTTGGACCATTAACTAATCTACCCGACTACAGTTTTTTGGATGGCCGCCCAACACCACTCGGTGTATGTTAACAAAAGCTTCAGCTGAAATTGTAATTCTAACTATTATTTTGTATTTTCATAGTCTAACCAAAAACGGCGGTTGAAGAAACAGCAAGAGATCGCTGATAAAATTGTAACACTAAGCGGTGAATTAGATTTTGCAAAGAAACGATATGCTCGCATACAAGCTGAAGAGGCGGAAACAAAAGAAAATATTATAAAGAACAAGCTGAAACCCAAAGGACATCTGCTTCTCAAGAAAGAATAAAAGTAGTGCATTTTAGTCCATAATTAACAGTTCAATATAATTAAAAGAGTTTATGTAATAATAATTATATACCAGAATGCCTACCAAAGTTGTTAACATAAATTTGAAGAATTTTTCTTTCCTGATTGGAACATTTATATTTATAGAAAATTTACGAGAAAAACACGAAAGCAAATTTACTATACACTTGCTTACTCCTCACTCTTGATATACATATAATAGGGAAGATGTAGACAAATTTCACTATCTTCAAACCAATATAAATACTGTAGGCAAAGGCAACCTTGAAATTCTATACTAGCGGACATCAATTACGAAGCACCGATATGGCCGCTCTGATGTGGTGGAACGTAGGCGAGGAAATTTAAGATTCCACATTAATATATTGTACTCTCGATATTATAAATCACTGCCGCTCTAGTTTTTGTCCAACTCTTAAAGCGTTCAGTGCGACATTAGCTCTAGTAGAGGAGGAGAGGAGTAATGCTCTCTTCGGCGAAGAGTCGATCTTCCACCAAAATACTTCTCCAGAACTGGACTACAGTTAGTGCTTAGAATGTTAGAATGGGAGAACGTAGTCTATAGAATGTCCCACTGGAATGTGAAGTCTCAAAAAATTCTATGTTCGAGTAGCGCCGTCAATACCTGTAGAAACTGAGCGTGCTGTTATTCATGAGTCATTTGAGGGCTTCTGTGAATCCTGCGTATAATGAGTCTCCGCATGACACTGGCCACCTCTATGTACGCGGCGCCAACCCCACTCATCTAACATCCATTTCCCTTTGATCCGACCCCGTCGAAACAGTCTCCTGAGCCTCACGCTAGATGACGCCGATGACAACTAAGCATGCATATATAATATTAACTATTTTTAAATAAAATTAACTTTATTAAAAAATGTATCATATTTTCGATTTTATAACGGCCTCAACTTGTAACAGAACTTATGACAGACAATTTTTTTCAAGTTTTAAAAATATGTAATTAAAAAATATGAATCTATTTAAATTTTTTGTTTCAGATAGAAATTGCGACCTGCATCCTGCCCGCCGTCCGGCAAATAAAAGATAAGAGAAAGATAAATAATATAAAAATTTTTGAATCAAACAATGTGATAATGATGTTTAAATATATAACTATAAACACCAGAAATTTCGTTTTAATCAATTAATACTTTCCCTCCTAAAGACATCCTCAAAAAAATTGATTTTTTGAAGCTTCTAAATCAGGCTCCCCCCTTAACTTCTCAATTGCCTACTGAGTTCGAAGTAGCACGAAGCAAGATTGAAATTAGTTGTAGTTTGTGCTACCAAAAAGAGTGTGGTTTATAGGAAGTTGAAATACTTTAACATAAATTCAACTGAGTGGAGTTGTAAATCCTAATAGCCGTAATAACTTCCACTTGCCCGGAAGCTTAACCTTATTTATGTTTGTCGATTACTACCAACAGGTCGGTGCCTTTAAGTCTGTTTTTTGATATTTTTTGAATTTGTTTAGTCGTTGTCCAATCGTATGTAAATATTATTATATTATTGTCGAACCATAACCTATTACAGTTAGATTCGCAAAAGGGCCATTTGTCTTCGATTCAATATTTCTCAATCAAATCTTTGCCGAAAAGTGTGAATTAAAATGCGGAACAGTCTCTATTGATTTTTGAACACGCTCTGGAAATGGACACATCTATTGGCATATTAATAAATATTTTTGTTTACACAGCTAATCAAATAAGCACATATTTTGACTATTCATGGAAGAAACCAACGTATGCTTGTTATTAGCACACTTAATTATTGTTTAAGTACTAAGTAATGGTAGTTGTGGACGTAAGTAAGTATCTACATATAAACCTATGTTAATATTTGTTCATACAAACATAACGGACTATATGTAATTTAAAACATTTTCTGTTAAAGTTCTTGCTTAATTACATAATTGGTAGTTGTTATTGTAATAAATAAAATGTATCAGCATATTAGGCGGAGCAAAACAATAATAGGTCTTATCACTTATCCACTAAACGTTTACCCTGAACATAATTTTTGTTTCGAAACTTAACACCTTCGTAAATGCATATGAAAACTCGTTACTTTTCTTGACATCCGTTTGAAAGAAATTTGACAAAGTGGGAAGACTTATTTAAAATGACTATAAAAATTCTCAATATTTCCTTTATCATTTTGCCCCATACAATACGAAATCGTTCATAAAATGTTGTTTGATTCGATAAGTTGGTTTTCAGTATTGAGAATTCAAAAAAGCTCTAAGTTGTAACAGACGGACGAAAAATCACCTTTTTTTTGTTGAAATTAGAGCAATGAAAAAATCAACTAAGCTCGACACGCTGATCATTTATACATATATATGTATATACTCTATAGGGGTTTCCGACATTACCTTTTGAGTTCATAAACTCCTTGGAAAACTTATTATTCCCTGTTAAGGGTTAGGTTTTTTTAAATAAAGGGCGATCCATTTCGAGGCTCCCCACTTTTTTTAAAGAAAAAACAAAAAAACTTGAAGCCTAATGGGAAATTATTCGAAAGAACATTCCTTGTCATTTATTTTTTGAAGATTATCTCTTCCTAATGTTGGCCGCGGCTACGCGTCAGATGGTCCATCCGTTAAGTCCAATTTTCGATGACTCATGATGATTCGCTCCAAAGCATGACTCGAAGCACGATTGTCCTCTTAGACTTTAGACTAAACATATCCACACAGGAACAAGTGTAACAGTATGATATCACTTGATATTTGTGGCCAGTCGATCGGTCCAAAACATGAAATTATCTGCTCACCGATGTGTTCACTCAATATATCTATTGATTGGTGCGATGTGTGGAAATGACGCCGTCTTCTTGAAACCAAATGTCGACTAGATCACGAGCTTGTATTTCAGGAATCAAATAGTCGGTCATCTTGACGCGATAAAGGTCGCCATTGACGGTTACGTTCCCACCGGTATTATTTTTGAAAAAATATTGATCTATGATTCTAGCGGCCCACAAACCATACCAACCGTCTGGATTAGTTCTTTATCTCTTCAAGTTGCTCTTACTCTCGAATGCGGCAAATTTTGCTTGTTTACATACTCATTGAGCCGGTTCGGTTCGGAAACGTCGGATCTTCTTGAAACTTGCGAAGGTTAATGGGCTTCAATTCTTGCACAAGCTGTATTTTGTACGCTATCAACTTAAGATCTCGATATGAAATGCGACAAGTTGTACCATATGTCAGTCTGAGTTGCTGCGAAATGCGCCGAATCGACTCTCCACGGTCTTCATTCTCAGCTACGGTTGCTATATTTTCTTCACTGCGTGCTGAACGTGGTATATTCAGGCAAATATTATTCAATAATGAATGCTGGTTCTGAACATGGGTGATAGTATTGCGAATAGTTCGCTCAGTAATCCGTTTATGTTGGTCAATAGTTCAGCAAAGCGCCCTAAAAACATTCTTTACAAATCGTGAATTTTCGCAATAAAGCTGACCGGTTTGTAAACCTTGTTAAGGCACAAGTATTTCCATGATATGCATATGCATTTATGCACGCGTGATCTGTCAAAAAAGGCGACTAAAAAAAGTACCTCTAAAGGATTACCCGTTATAAACTATTTTTATGCAATTTAAATAGTTCAGCATATCAAAGATTCATATTTAAATAGTATTTTGTGAAATTTTTATTTAAAAGTCCCGAAAACTCAGCCCTTGGTATCAAATCTTCCTTCACATTTCTAAAAAAATGTGTACGTGAACACCATAAATCAAAATCGAAAAACGAAATATGTATATTTGTTAGTGCCCCTTAAGGGTATAAGTATAAAACATACCTTCTATTCGGTGACTGTTATTTGGAATATAATTTTGTAGCAGCATATGTTGTTAAAAAATCCGAGTCGATGTGTTTGGCGATGTAACGTATTTCCATTGAAGTTTACAACAAAATCTCTTTTTATGTACCATAGGTTGTCAGTTCTATTTTTCATTATAAAGCCGATTTGAAGAACATAGATACATTCTTTAAAGCTTTAGATAATTATTCCTGAAATATTACTTCGATGAGAAAATCCTCCATTGTATTGTAAAGAAAACGTATGAACTTCAACTATATCATTTCAGCTAATTAAACCTGGAAACGTTTTAAAATGTAAGTAGAATATTGCAAGTTTTAGCAGTATAGCCTGTAACAACTGCAACCGCTGAACGATCGATTTCGACTTTAGGAAGAATTAAAAGTCATCTTAGGAACATGGTGGGACAAGAGCGTCCAATTATCTTGCTTTTTTGAACTTACACAAAAGTAATTTGAAATGAAATCCTTTAATCTTTGAAAATTTAAAATGGGTATGCGTTTTATAATATTTTCTATTTATAGTAAGTTGTAATGATATACTATTATTGGCTTCAGATGACAACTATACATAAGTATATGTAAACGAACTGATTCAATTAATCGTCATTTATTTATAGGGTATATGATTAATAATTAGTTAATGCAATCCAGAAATAAATGCCGAATACTGCTTTCCCGGGCCTGAAAACCTCTTCTTGTATTCGCCACTGGCTTGAAGAGACATAAACATATTTTTAATCCAAATTGAGCGAGTATCTACATATCTCATTCGAATTCGTGTTGACTTAAAAAAGTAAAAATGAAAATAAACAACATTTACATTTTTCCACCATCTGGTGGTCTAAAATATGAAGTATTTAAACATATAGCATCAGAATTGGAATAATATTGCTCACTCAGGGAGTTCGTAAATTGGATTTGTTCTTATAATTCATTTCTAAGACGCAGTATCGTAAATGTATTAGGATCATAAAACTGAACATTAACCGTGGTAGATTTCCGTGATTGACATATGGATAATTTTCCACATTAATTATTGTATAACAACAAACCATATATTTTTCAGTGGACGGAGCATTAAAGTGTTAAAAACCCAATAAATTAATCAAAGTTCGCGGTGGCGATCGGTTCCATATTCAAATATTTCACTGTCTGACATGGGAAAGCATTCATATGTATGAGTATTTGATTGTAGAAACTATGGTGAAATTAATCATGATTAATCATTGATTCATATTCCCGTTTTTAAAGGTGTGAATGAAGGTGCTCGCAAATGTCGCGAAATTTTACACAAAACCCTTTTTGATTTCTCTTGCTCTTCTTTTATGCGTGTTTCTAAACAAAATGATAAATGCAGCATTCATGGAGTATATAAGTTCTGTTAAATGTTGAGCTCAGGCACTCAAGAATTGACTTACCTTGATAGCAGAACTCTACAGTGTGTAAGAATTAAAAATTATTTGTTGAAAGATGAATTACTTGGTGAGTTTGAGAAACAAGTGACGCAAATCGAAAAAAAAAATTATGAAATTATTTAGTGAAATTAAATTAAATTTAGTATGCAAACAAATGTTGAACAAATTCTCTGCTAAATCTTGCAGCGCTTAACTACCGTGAACTGCGTCATCATAGTATTATTATTTGTGTTGGTACTCACCCCCAGCTATGCTCAATTGTTTTATGATTTCGAGGGTTTCGATTATGCCAATAATGTTTTGGACCGACATTTACCTGATGGTTACTACTACGTAAATGATGGCCGTATCGTCCCCGTAAGCAGCGACATACGACGCAAGGATTTTCTATTGAGTGGCAGTGATCACGTCTATTACTCACCGGTCGTGCGCGTCAAACATCAAAAGGCAAAGAAGAAGTTATTTGTGCCAAACTTATTTGGTTAAGCGTAGGAAGTAGAAGTACGAAACGTGCGATGTTGAGAATACAGACTGATCTCTTTACACTTAAATTTGTGTATTATAAAATTATATATGTTGTTATGTACATATCAATGTTTAACGTAGTAAATTAACAAAAGTCTAAATTTACTAAAAAAAAGCTCATATAAATAAATGAGAGGAAAATTTAAACATATATACATATATATAGACTTTTTTTTATTAAGCAGGGACAATTGCTTCTTGAGATTCAACATTAAGTTTTGGTGTTTGGAAAAGAAAAAAATTTTAATAATTTCGTATTTAAATGAAACTCTACTTCTGATGAAAAATATGTTGCTGGTACCATGAAATGATCGTCAAAGAAAATGAACGAGATGGACCGCCTTTTAGAGGTGAAAACGTCCAAAATCTAACACAATAGCACACTGTTATTAAAGCGAGACGCTTTTTTAATTTCTTTAAGACATCGCACCTATTGATCAGTGTATATATATATGAAATTCGATAACCCTTCTACAGGATGATCGAGTTTCCTTACTTTTTTAAGAAAATACGCAGAACCCCAAACTTAATGGAAAATACTTATTATCATTTAAAAGAACAACATCTGGCAATTATGTTTTGAAGTTTATCTCTTTCACTTGTCCGTTGAGTTCAATTTTCGATGACTCTTCGAGCAGTTTGGCTGGTATCCTGTGATGTTTTGCTCCAAAAAGTCCAACGGTGTGATATCATACGATATTGGTGGCCTATTGACCGGTGCAAAACGTGAAAATATCTGCTAACCGAAGAATTCTCTCAATAAATCCATTGATTGATGTGACGTGTGGGAAATGACGCCGTCTTGTTGAAATCAAATGTCGCCGAGATCACAGCTTCGATTTCAGGCTTTCGAATAGGGGCGGTTACGTTCTCACCGGCATAAATTTTGATGAAATATGAACCAATGATTCCTACGATGCACAAGCGCACCAAACCGTTGTTATTTCTGGATGAAATGGCAGCTCTTGAATCTCTTCAGGTTACTCTTCGTTCCAAATGGAACGTCTTTCTTGTTCTTTCAAATTTTCAAGAGCCCATCAAGCGAAGCGATGTCACTTGGAAAGGTCGAGCGCATACGGATCTCCAAGTAAAATGCGCCAAGTTGTTCATACGTCAGTCCGAGACTCTCCACCGTTTTCATGTACACTCTCAGCTATGGCTGCTATATTTTCTTCACTTTGAGCTGGACGTCTTCTATTCGGTTGAATATTATCCAATAATAAATAAAGAGTCTGAAGTGTGCGAAACAAATTTTTTACAGAATGGGAACTTTAGTAATCAAGTTGAACGGTTTGTAAACTTTGTTAAAGCGTAAGCATTTCCATGATGAAAGGCCAAACAATACTGAACAAAAATCTGTCAAAGAGGCCTATTGAATACCTATATATGTATCTATTACCCCTTATTAGGTATACGTGGTTTTGAAGAAGTATTGAACCGATGTTATCCATTTTCCGCATTTCGATAGATTATGCTTCGATAAAAAGTCTGTCACAGGCTCTAAGATTCACATATTTGGTATCTCTAGACTTGAAAAATTATGGTCTAATTTTAACTATTTTTAGGCGTGAGTTCTCATTCCTTAAGTGGACTTTGTAAGAAAACTTTTATTTCAATTTATATATTGTAACATTAAATAATGAGTGCCCGTTTTTATACCACTATGGGCAAAAAATAGTTCAATTTAATTTCGGACGAAAACCTATTGGTCGAAAATATTTTTTTCTAGATCGGTATGAGTATCAGTGACATTAGTGCCAGATGCGCTTAGTATACTCTTGTTTTTCTGAATTACATAAAGTGCATTCAGCTATTTTGAAGATGATTGAAATTATTCAAAAAAGAAGTTCCTTTGAATTTTATATGCGGAATCAACTTTCTGGTGATTAAAAGTTCAGGAAAAGGCCTTCGATGATAACTGTTACTCACGAGCAAGTGTTTTTGGAAAGTGAACGACGAACCACGTTCTGTACGACCATCAACTGATGATAAAAAGGTCAATAAAGTAAAGAAAGTAAAGTGTTGACCGTCTTCTTCGATTACCGAAGTGTAATGCACTCCGAATTCCGTCCTACCAACCAAACTGTTAAAAAGGAATACTATGGTTATTAGGCAAGCTCAAACGATCGCTCCTTGAAAGCCGTTTTGAGTCAATTGAAGACGTTAAACCTGAATCGTTGCGCTGCTGCATTGAAGGCTATTCCGGAAATAGACTTTAACAACTGTTTCGAGGATTGGAAAAAACGTTGACACACTTATATTGTGGCCAAGGGCGCATTTTTGGAGACATAAATTTTGAAGACTAAATTACGAATTTTAAAATTATGAACAAAGTCGTACAATACTCTTTTTTCTAGAATTATGGTTACCTATATCGTAATAAGGATGACAAGATATAAAATTTAATAATTAACAACAATATAAAAATTATATCTAATATGTACAATGAAATGTTTGAATCATTGTCTAGTGAGCAAGTATGTGAGTTTTTTTTACTTAAAAATCAAGATCTGCGATTTTAATTCAAGATTTTGAGATTAAAAAACTAAAAGTGTAAATATTGTTTTTTAATTTAATATTAAAAATTTAAGTTTTTAATTCAAAAATATTTGTTTAAGGATTGAAAAAATATTTTTATAATTAAAAACTGGAATGGAAACTAATGCGTAAATGTATATTCTATAGCAATTTTTAATTCTAAGCTTGAGATTAATTTTTACATAATAATATATTTTTTTTATTCGGTATTTGTTTTTAAAAATATAAAATGCACTTAATTTGAAAAATCGATTTATGTTTTTGATTAAATTTAGTGATTTACTATTTTAAACGCGGCTAAGTACTTAGCCCACTCATCTTAGACGGAATAATCATTGAAATAATAGGTAATTATTCTGCAGACTTTAAAATCATGAAAGAATGTAATAATTTATTACCAAATAACTGTAACGCACTAAGCGTTTACGCGTGTCTGTTATTTCGCTCCCATAATGTTACTAATAAGAAAGTCATGAAATCTAAATTTAGCTTTAAATGAAGTTATAAACCAATGTGTTACTATAAATAAAATATCAGAATGAAATTGAAGCATAACGAAACCAGAAACTGCGGACAGACATTTTATTGAACCAAGTGGTAATAAATATTGGCGATATCACACATATGCGCGGATACCGGTATTGGAATGCATAGTATAGACCCAATTGCACACAGTGGCTTCAAATATACATAGTGAGTTTTATGAAAAACTAAATTCAAAACTCGGATTTTTATGGGATTTTACTGTGCAAATACATCAATAATTTTGACATATTCAAATTAAATATTTTAGCTTTCTATTTTATTACTTCTTTAACTATAATCGTGCGTTGTTGTTTTAGAAATTTGAACGTTTATCGGGCAATGCTTTCAGTATCTAATTTTCACACTATTTTGGCCGCCCAGGTCGTTCTTCGTCTTCCAATGTGGCAAACCGGTCTAATATAGTTATAGACTCGAAAACTAACAAGTCAATCGAAAAGTCCCGCCCTATCATTTTAAACACAAAATTTTTTCTTAAAATGCGTTTTTTTATTCAACATTATATGTATGACAGTTTCCTTCAAGTTTATACACCGATTATAGTGACCCTCCAACATTTTGATACCATTTTCATAGTACGATTTACACTTTGCTTCCCAGCGAGCATTCTTTTGAGATATGAGAACAGAAAATAGCCAATGGGGCCAGATCTGGAAAATAAGTTGGATGCGTAGCACTTCGAAGCTCAATTCATTGACTTTTGCCCTCGATTTTACTGCCTTGTGACACGGTGCAACACCTTCAATTTCTGGAAATGCGGCCGTTTTTCAATATTCACTCTTCAATTCACTCGCATGACTGTCGATTGGACTTTGGGGTATAATGATGGAGCCATGCTTCATCCATTATCGTATCGATGGAAATTCTTCTTCTTTACTGGGGTAGACACCGCTACGCAATTATCGGTGGAGAATCGGACGGGAAGAATGAGTGACTTGGTTTCTGCTCGTCAAGAGAGGACTTTACTTCTTAATTGCCTACTCACTTTGGAGAAAACACAACTATCGGCGCCGTTGTTGAGGTCAACGATATCAATATAATCGGCGTATGCTAGTAGCTGTGCACCCTTATAAACACTGCTACTATACATACAAACCCATTTAATTATACATTGTCAAATAAGCAACTTGCAACGGATGGCTTACTGTATACTAACTAAAAATTATATGCATCTAATTCTAGCAGCGTCATATGTTTATGTGTCAGGCCGGTTTCAATTGAACTGGCGTATGTCATCCAAAATTTAAAATATTATTTATTGCTATTTGTACTCAAATCTCCAATACACATAAACTTAGATGCAAGGTTTCAGAATTAGCGGGAACAATGAGAGCATTTCTCACCTCTGCGGGTATTTACGGCATTTACTTTCGCATATACAGCTATATATATCACCACGAAGTTAACTGGAGATAAATATTTTCATACCATTAATAACAAACAGTGTACCCGTCAAAGCCACAATGCTCTAAACCAGCCGTCGGACGTGACGTATGAGCAACATTTAATCGGAAGAACACTTTCCAAAAGCAATTTAATACAAATATGAGGAAAATTGTATGTAGAAATGCAAAGCAATCGAAATAGATACTTGTAATTAAAATATAATTTATTTCAGATACCGAAGGCTTGGAGTTTGTTACTTATATTAAGTGCTCTTAGTGTCAAATTATCAAATGTGATGGCATCCCACGAGAGTCGCATCATTAAAGAGATGCACAATAGATCAGAACAAATAGACTCGGTAAAAATTGTTACCACGGAACAATATAAAAATTTTGACAGTTTGGAACCTCTTTATAATGCTCAGAGCAATGTTCGAGCTAAACGAAATGACGCTGGACGCGATAAAGTCACTTCTACGCAAACTAAAAAAGTTAAGTCAAAACGGCGTCGTAGGACCTTTTTTGTGCCGGTTATATGTGGCTAAAGAAGGTTTATTTGGAAGAGAGGCTTACTTCATGGATTCGGTAATAGTGATTAAGTGTTATTAAAAGTTCAAGAGTATCTGTATTTATAATACTAAAAATAATAAATACTTTTACGATAAACCCATATTTAAGGTTCGTAAATTTAAGTACTTTATAAGCTAATAATAAAAAAGGAACTTAATCTCAATAGTGGCCCTATTTAAACAATTACTTCGGAGACTGTACCGATACCTTGACTGACAATGAGATACCCCTTTAATTAATGATGATGATAAGGTACAAATGACTAGTTCGTTTATATATAGACAGACAAACATGCCTAAATTGGCTCAGTTCGTTATGCTGGTCATTCATATATGTATATACTTAATGGGATCTCCGATATTTCCTTTTTGGTGATACAAAGTTCATTGCAAACTTAATCTACTTTCTTCAGGTTTAAAATAATTAGAGAATTTTCGACGAAATTGTTAATGCTTCAGTTTCACATATTGGTCGATATATGCGTTATAAAGTCAAACGGAATTTCGTTTTTCCCATATTATGTGTATGGGAGTTAGGGATTGTATTCACCCGATTTTACCTATTTTGAACATAAGGACAATTTTTTATTATCGGAATTTTTTTATTTGATAATATACATATATATTATTTCGGTAAAAATAAAATATTACGCATAAAATTTGATGAAAAAGATAGATATAAAGTAGTGGATTTCAGATAATAAGAGTTCTGTAAATTAAACCTATAAGGTACGGCCACTCTTTGATATTTTTCAGTTACAGATGTCCCTCACTACTGCGATCCTTTGTAGAAAATTATAGTTTTGTTTCTTAATTTTAAGCTTAGTTCTAGAACTTTAAAAGTTTTCGATTAAGAGCAGACAATCCTCTCGGCACTTTGAGCATTTGTATATATTATATAATTCTATCTATCTCGGTTAGCTCTAGTTGTTAGACACAAGTTACAAGTTATGTAGCGAGAGTATACAGTTGGAAAACTTACGACTCAAAGAGTATAACAGATGCTTATGGTTCGCGTATTGGCTAATATGCTTCTTACGAATTCTCATTGGGTTACAAAAATTATTTAAGCTGCCTTTACTGTAAAAACTTATTAATCAAAGCAGATACTGCGTTGAACTTAAGTCATATAAAAATTAGTGAAATCATAAACACGATTCAAAAATTGAAAACATCAATTTCTAAAATTAAATAATGTCAATAGTCGATAAAGTCAATGAAAAAAAATATACACAGTAATAATATTTTCGGTGTTTGCCCAGCATCTCGGTTTTATTGCAATGTGCACAATGTGCTGTATAAACGCACGGCCTGAAATTTATTTTCAAACAGTTCATAACAAATTGTCAATCAATCTAAGCAAGATGTTTAAAATTACGGACTCGCCGGTGAGTGTTTTTGAAAAGTGTTGCTGCATAAGGAAATAACTGAAATCCTACGAATACTTAGCTTACATTTTTGGGGATATTCAGCCTCGCATTAGCTGTATTTGGGGTTCAAAGCAAAACAATATCCGCGGTTCGACCATTCGCAGATTTAGTCGAAAATTCAGAAGTAAATGACGCGCCGACCCGTGCACGACGCAGTTATTTTTGGGTGGAAGATGGCTCGGATAAAGTCACTATTGTGGAAAATAAACATTTACGGCGCACCTTAGAAGAGTATCGCCGCAACGTGCATGGTGAAGAGAAGCAACGTGACGAGAGATATCGGTCACAATACGAGGAGCGTCGTCAAGAGTACGGTGAGGATGAAGAGGTGCAAGAACATACGCCTTTGTTTGTGCCAAACCTTTTTGGTTGAATAAATGCAATAACAATTTTATATATTGTCATAGATATAACTATTTCACTTAATTAGTTACCTTTATGTAAGTTCAAATTATGTCCATCTTAATAAAAAAAAAAAAATAATAATAAAAATTGTATAATTTTATTGAAATCTATTTGGGCTTTTCCAAATGCATATAATTTGAAGTACTTGTCAAACTATGGCTGAATTATCTTTCTAACTTATGCTATACTTTCTAGTGGATATACATTACATATATGTATCCGATATAAACCAAGCTAACACTAAATTTAATATATTGGGTATATGAGGAAAAAGTCAACTGAAGGCTGTGTCATGGTGGCATAAGGGGTATCTAAGCCTCCGACAAAGTTCTAGAAAAATGTCATTCAAATTCAGAGTGAAACTAAACTATGATTAAGAAAACACATCCATTTAATTTGACTCAACGATCACAAATATTGACTTATAATATATAAATAGTTTGAAGTCAACTGGAAATCGGAAATCACTAAATTAGTTAAATTGATAGAAAGAGGTCCGGATTTTTTACATTTACCTTTGGCTCGGCAACATATTTTTTATACTCTCGCAACAAAGTTGCTAAAGAGAGTATTATAGTTTTGTTCACATAACGGTTGTTTGTAAGTCCTAAAACTAAAAGAGTCAGWTATAGGGTTMTATAYACCAAARTGATCAGGGTGACGAGTAGAGTTGAAATCCGGATGTCTGTCTGTCTGTCCGTCCGTCCGTCTGTCCGTCCGTGCAAGCTGTAACTTGAGTAAAAATTGAGATATCATGAAACTTGATACACGTATTTCTTGCTCCATAGGAAGGTTAAGTTCGAAGATGGGCAAAATCGGCCCACTGCCACGCCCACAAAATGGCGAAAACCGAAAACCTATAAAGTGTGATAACTAAGGCATAAATAAAGATATTAAAGTAAAATTTGGCACAAAGGATCGCATTAAGGAGAGGCATATTTGAACGTAATTCTTTTGGAAAAGTGGGCGTGGCCCCGCCCCCTACTAACTTTTTTGTACATATCTCGAAAACTACTATAGTTATGTCAACCAAACTCTACAGAGTCGTTTTCTTCAGGCATCTCCATATACAGTTCAAAAATGGAAGAAATCGGATAATAACCACGCCCACCTCCCACACAAAGGTTATGTTGAAAATCAGTAAGAGTGCGTTAATCGACTAACAAAAAACGTTAGAAACACTAAATTTTACGAAAGAAATGGCTGAGGGAAGCTACACTCAGGCTTTTTTTTTTTATTTAAAATGGGCGTGGCCACGCCCACTTATGGACCAAAAACCACATCTCAGGAACTACTTGACTGATTTCAATGAAATTCGGTATATAATATTTTCTTAACACCCTGATGACATGAACGAAATATGGGTGAAATCGGTTAACAATCACGCCTTCTTCCAATATAACGCTATTTTGAATTCCATCTGATGCCTTCTCTGTATAATATATACATTAGGAAAGAATGATGTTAGCGGAATAAAACTTTACACAAATACGGTATTTGAGCTGAGGTATCCCTTGTAGAAAAATTGTCGTGATCGGACTATAACTTTTCAATGCAATTAAAATAAATGAAAATACAATTCTTGAGTATTGTACACAAATTAATTTACAGCAAAATAAAAAAATATGTAAATGACGGTTAATGAAATCTCGATTATCACTTTATCATGCGAGAGTATAAAATGTTCGGTGACACCCAAACTTAGCCCTTCCTTACTTGTTTTACATAAATTTAATTAGAGTCCACTAGAATAACGATAATTAGAATATTGCGGTTGGTTATTCGTGGATCGATTTCATCAAATAACGGCACCAAACTATAATATCCTATATTCCAGAATGTAAGTTTAGCTAAAGATATCTTACATGCTGATTGATATATACGATATAGAGTTATCTATTGGGGAAATATTGACGTGACTCTTTTCTTTTTTGGCTACATCATTATGGAAAAAATGTGCACTGAATTTTAAGAGGATATGATCCGATTTCATTCCCATTCATTCCTAGATTAATACAAGGTGTGTGTGTATTGCGTTTTAAGTTTGTTTGGGTTATCGGTGTAAAAATGAGCTTCGAACAAAGTGTCAACATTAAATTTTGCTTTAAAATTGACAAAAAGTTTTATCGAAACTTTTCAATTGATGAAACAAGTTAATGCCGATGATTGCCTAACCCGTAGCAGAGTACACAAAGTGAAATTCCATCGAAACTTTGAGTGAATTCATCAAAAATCAGCCGAAATCATCATTAAAATTCATGGAAATGGAATTGAACATCTCAAAAACATCGAACATTTCGGCTTACGAAAGGTATGTGCACGGTTTGTTCCGCACTAATTGATTGAGGGCCAACAATTTCTTTAATCGATCGACGCTTGTGACCGATTATTTAACCAAAAAACCACATTTTAACCATTAAACACTCCCCGTATTGACCTGATATGGCACCGTGCGACTTCTTTCTTTTCGGAAAAATTTGCCCATGAAAGGAAAGCGTTATGCAGACATAGAGGCCATTCAAAAGGTTTACACCGGCATACTGGCGGCCATACCGGCCAGCGAGCTAAAAAAATTCGACATGCTTTTGGAATGAAATACATGGAAATGCATTGTTTTTGAACAAAATAAATTTATTTTGCCGAAAAACCCATTTGTTCTGTTTTTTTAAGTCCTGTTTACTTTGGAACGCACCTGGTATAATACTTAATAATATTAAACTATAAATTGGTTGAGTATTTCCTGATGTATATAATTGAAATTATCAATTAGGCATGAGGTGTGTGGCGGGAGTATAAGCTCTGAACCCATTTTTGGCTGCACACCACACTATTATGGAAGAAGGATTGTCGTTTCCACTCAATTTTTACTCAAGAGCACGTCATTTCTATTAAGGGAGCTACAAAAATTGTTCCTATGGTCTAACCATTAAAAGATTGCTATGAAAGAATTCATAGTACCTTTATAACTTCAGAAAATACGTTGGAAGTAATGCCGTTTTTTGGGAGTGTTAGCCTATAATCGTTGTTGTGAAGAAATTTTTAATTATTTAGGGGTATATCTTCCGAATTGAGGACTTCTTTAGGGATTTTGCGATATCAACTACAAATAATATTCGAAAAATTGTCCCCTTGATCATATCCGAGTTAATTTAGGAAACTTCCCCCATACCACTTTGTTTTAAGATTTTATGTTTTTATATTAAAAATGATAGACTTTAAAAAAATTCAAAAAGAAATTATTTATACTAAAATAAAGGAAGGTAATAGGTATAGGCAAAACAAAAAAAAAATTGAATTTTGTGTCACAGCAACAGAAATTAAAAGGAACATGCTTTTGTTAATGAAACAATAATGATTGGTTAAAAATTTTGCTGATACCGAAAAATGGCTTGTGAATAAATGTTGACCCAATTTAGTGGGGAATACAAACCAGTGTATTAAATGTTTCAATTTGCACTCACACCCGCGCGAGGATTTAAAAGGAAAAGTGTTTTTAGGAAAAGTACAATTTATCTTTAATAATTATTTATTTAGCAAGTGGTTCTTTGCGTTATTATACAAAATTGTGTTCGAATCGAATTACTTTCCAATGGTTTGGGTCGGTATAAGTCGTCGCCGGCGGCTCCAAGCCAAAGGTAGTGTTGACGTGGCGCAGGATGTATATAAAGTTGATGATCGAACTTTATATGGCGAATGTGATGGCGAAAGGTGTCGACGCGACGCAGTGTGTAAAACGAATGTGGTCCGCTTTCCCTTTTCCCATCCTTTTTGTTGAGTGGGTTGAATAATGTAGATGTAAGGTGAGTTGTGTTGAGTGGTGTCATTAGTTGTGGTGAATTACGCTGTTGTATTAGGGTGCGCCAGTTTCCCGGGTAGAGTGGGTAGATGCTTAACTCATTTAAACAGCTTGATTACTTTCACTAGTAACTGCTCTTCTAAAGTCCATGCTGGTTCGTATTGTAGATAACCTGGCAAAATTAAGGCAACTATAGTTTTAAAATAAACGCACCAGGTGATAACACAGTGAATTCGTTAGCAAATTTAAAGTATTTACATGGCCCGATAATTTAAATTTTCTTTTGTATGAATTACTTTTATTATTTCTGCAAATAGATCGTAATAATATCAGTGGATGCATACGTTGTATGTCATCAGCAATATAAAAGGTTTAGTAAGATTGCAGTGGGGCAACGTTTAAAGTAAAGTCAGAAGATAGTACAGGGTGCATGACTTAACTTTACTAATATAGTTTCATTAAAAATTCAATTAAAAACTATTTTTTAGCAAGTAAGGAAGGACTAAGTTCGTGTGTAACCCAAGATTTCATAATCTTGCATCTAACAAGAATCAAACCAGGACAATACCAAAAGGTGCAAAACGTCAACCAGAGGATCAAAATAGAAGCAATTATATATATATATATATATATATATTTACTCACTGATTGACGTATTCGACATGAGGTTTGTTGGAAAATCATATGTAGTGTATAAGCGTAGAGTAGAATCGACCCCAATTTTTTCTACTTTTGCCAATACAACATACTACAGTAAAATCTTTCTTACACGGTCTTATATTACACGATTTTGAATTAACACGGTTGGTCAAGAAGAAATTTCAAAGTTTTTTACCCAATTTTTTTTGGTTTTTTCATGATTTTCTGCAGTGCTGGATATCATACATACAAACGGCAACTCTACTTCATGGCTTGTTTATATTAAGGGGGTATTACAGTCTAGAAATCAAACTTTGGGCAGTTTTTTGAAAAACCAAAAAATATTTTTACTATCCATTTTTTTATGGTATTTTTATTGATATCTTAAGAACACAGAAAACAAATTTTACAAAAAACAAGTAAGGGAGGGCTAAGTTCGGGTGTCACCGAACATTTATATTCTCGCATAATAAAGTAATAATAGAGATTTCAGGAGTGGTTGTGAACCGATTTCATATTATACCGAATTTCATTGAAATCGGTCGAGTACTTCCTGAGATATGGTTTATGGCACTTTTAGTGA